ATTCTATGCTGCTGTTCAGAAACAGCTGACCGAGTTAGCTCAGCCTGAAGGGGTGGAGTGGGAACATAAAAGGTTACGTTCAGAGGGAGTGCCGAGAACCTTTGAGGTCATGCCATGTGACTGGTACAGTGTGACTCTGGCTCTCACAGATGAGTTCCAGGGTCCAAGACTCATTGGTGTATGCACAAGTTCCTCTTTTGATTTTGTTTTTGTCTTTTCAGACAAACTTTATTGCTGTGGCTTTCTCAAACATGTGGACAACATTCCTGAGCACCATTTAGGGCAGCAGTTTCAACTGAGATGTTTGCTCCTTGCAAACTCCAGAGATACTTAGCAACATCTAAGGACATTTTTGGTGATCAACACTTAAGGCAAAGGGGTACTATTGGCATCTAGTGAGTAGAAGCCAAAGGCACTGCTAAGCATCCTGCAGTGCACAGCACAGCTCCTTACAACAAAGAATTCTCCAGCCTGCAAATCCATTCAGGCTGCTGTTGAGAAACCCTGGCTGGGATCACACAAGGAAGTTGGTGGCTCTTCTTGTTTCTGATACAGGAAGGGAGGAAACAGGGCAGAATGGAAGAGCTCTTTTTTAAAAAAATTATTTTTCAGCCGGCGCCGTGGCTCACTAGGCTAATCCTCCGCCTTGCGGTGCCGGCACACCGGGTTCTAGTCCCGGTCGGGGCGCCGGATTCTGTCCCGGTTGCCCCTCTTCCAGGCCAGCTCTCTGCTGTGGCCAGGGAGTGTAGTGGAGGATGGCCCAAGTGCTTGGGCCCTGCACCCCATGGGAGACCAGGATAAGTACCTGGCTCCTGCCATCGGATCAGTGTGGTGCGCCGGCCGCAGCACTCCGGCCGCGGCGGCCATTGGAGGGTGAACCAACGGCAAAGGAAGACCTTTCTCTCTGTCTCTCTCTCTCACTGTCCACTCTGCCTGTCAAAAAAAAAATATTTTTCATTTATTTGAAAGGCAGACACACAGAGGGAGAGAGAGGGCTAGGGGTTGGGGTGGAGAGGAAGAAAATGAATCTCCCAATCTCCCATCCACTGATTCACTTGCCAAATGCCCGTGCAACTGGGGCTGGCCCATACTGTGGCCAGGATCCTGGAACTCAATCCAGGTCTCCCATGTGGATGGCCGAGACCCAAGCACTTGGGCCAGTTTACCTGTTCTCTCTCTGGTTGTGCATCAGGAGTGCTGGAATAGAAAGACAAGCCAGGACTCAAACCCAGATGCTCCAATATGGAATGCAGGCATCCCAAGTGGGGTCTGAACCACTGTGCCAGACAGCTGCCCTGAAAAGAGCTCTTGACCGAGGGTTAGAAGACCAGGGCCACCAGCCAGCTGTGTGGCCTGTTCAAATCACTTAACCACCGTGGGGCTTCTTTCCTTCTCTCACTTGGGACTGATTCCTTCTCCCACTTCAGGCTGCTGTTTGGATCACAGGCAAGCAAGTTGCTGAATCTCTTTAAAATGCTTACGTGCTATTATTTTATTTAACTGTGATAGAAAATCAAGCTTACGTGGTATTTGTGTCTATAGTCAGGGCATGAATAGTATGAGCAGAGTTTTTGTTTTCCGGTGTTCAGTTTCCAGGGGCATGGCCTCACTCTCCCATTAGTGTGGGAAAACAGCTCCCACACAAAAGGTGTTTCCTGGAACCATGGCACGGCTTCAAACGTCCCTGCAATTCACCAACACTGCGGTTCTTGACATGGAGCTTGTGGGTTAGAAATTCTCTTTTCAATTCTTGTGAAACCTCTAAAGGGGTTTTCTCCAGAAAAGCAAGGTATTTTTAGTGCTGATGTTGTGACCATGTTGGTCTTACAGAACATCGCTGAGCTCCAGCTGCTGTGTCATGTAGTACAGGGAGGGTACAGCTGTCTATGAGTGAGAGGCTTGAGCCCTGGGGATGTGCACAGCTAGCATGAAAGAAATGTTAGGTATGTATTCAAACACTGGGGAACTTTGCCCTGTGAGTAAATAAAGGAATGGAGTGAGGCAGGAAGCAGATCCACTCAAACACAGTCATTATGTAGAGACTTAGCAATCATGGGGTGGGATACTGGTGTTTTGTCACTATGCTGACAGTGTTGTTTGGATTCTAGGGACAAGGTGGCTTTGGGCTAGAGGCTGTTCTGGTTCCACCTAACTCAGTTTTAAAGCAAGTCTCAAAGGGATCAAAGTGTTGCCAAGTGATTGAACAGGACTGAGGTACGTGCGATCTTGGTCAGCAAGCTGGCCTGATCCTAGTGCACGCAATGTGCAGAGCACACCTGCATCCGGCCAGGATGGAGCAGGGTTCAGATCTATTTTCTCACTTAAACAACTGGACAAGATATATGCACAACGTGTTTGTTAAAATCTCACCCCCTGCCTTTTTTTGTGTGTGTAATGTGGTCTTCAATTCTGGCTCCTTTGAAGATTTTCTGTTTATTGTGGGTTTTAAAAAATTTGTGTGGTGCCTTGTAGTTTTCTTCATTTTTTTTTTATACTTAGGGATCATGGGACTTCTTAGATCTATATATTTATAGTCCTCATAAAAATCAGATATTTTTCTGCCATTATTTCAAATAATTTTTTGTCCTTTTCTTTCTCCTTTGGAATTTTCAATTGCACATCTATGAGGCTTCTTAAAATTTCCCCCATAGCTCCCTGATGCTCTGTTAATTTTTTCCCATCTGTGTTCTCTCTGTGTTTCATTTGGGTAGTTTCCATTGGCATGCCTTTAAGGTCACTAAACTTTTCTTCTATTATGTCTAATCTGTTACTAGTTCTACCCAATGTATTTATCTCAGACATTTTTTTATTCTCTAGAGGTTCAATTTAGAATAAAAAAATCTTCCACATTTCTACTTAACGTGTTTATACTTTCCTATACTTTATAAAATATATTTATAAGAATTCTTAATGTTCTCATCTACTAATTTTAGTATATGTCTCATTTCCAGGTTGGTTTTGACTGACTGATTTTTCCCTCTTTATGGGTTGCATTTTCCTGCTTCTTTGTATGCCCCGTAATTTTTGATTAGGTACCAGGCATTGTAATTTTACCTTGTTGGTGCTGGATATTCTTGAATTATTTAAAATGTCTTTTTTTTTTGGCTTTATTCTGGGATGCTTTTAAATTACGTGGAGTAGTTTAATCCTTTTGAGACTTGCCTTAAAGCTTTGTTAGGTGGGACTGTAACTGCTTTTAGTCGAGGGCTAATTTACCCCGCTCCTGAGGTGCTTCCCTTTTGAATATTCTATGCCATATGCCTACACGGCTCTTTCATTCCTGTTGGTGAGGACACAAAAAACCCTTTGTATCCCTATGTGAGTACCAGGGGATTGCTCCACCTGCTCCCTTTCCCCAGCCACAGTTTCCTTATATGCTTGCACTGATCTCTGAGACTCAGCTGAAAACTCAGGGGCTTTTTGCAGACCTCCAGAGATCTCTGCTGTCCAGCTCTCTGTCATCTCTGTCTTCCTGGCTACGGGGTGGTGGTGGGGAGCAAGGGTCTGAACATTCTCTCCAGCTAGCAAACTGTGGCAATTATAACACTTCTCATTTGTCTCCCTCTCTCTGTCATATGCTGCTGATTGCCCACTGTTGGAAAACATCTCCCCAGAAGTAGTGCAGACCAGAAGACGGCAAGGCAGCACGTTTAAATCCCCTTGCCTCGGTGTCCAGTGCAAGTGGGTAAGTGTTGGGACAAACTCATCCTTAAAGCCTAGACAGGCATTGGTCCCATAAAGATCACAACTCACGTCCAATACCATGGGAAGGTAGGAAGCGAGAGGAGAAAAGAGTTATGGAAAAATTCCACAGTGGTGCTTAGCCAGTTCTACCAAAAGAGGCCCGAGCACCAGAACACGTTAAATACATTATTTTCCCTAGGAGGTGTCCTTTCTCTGTTATCTGTTCCTGGCTCAGTGAATGGCATCCTCAACTCATGAACTTCGGGCACCTTTGACCCTTACAACTCTTTTACTTCATTTTGGGTCCATTACTAAAACCCACTGATTTTTGTCTCCAAAATGCCTCTTAGTTTACTTTTCTTCTTCCAGTCCAGATTGAGGCCTCACAACCTCTCACAAATTCACTATTTGACATTGGGGAAGTCATTTTACTCCTCTGGGTCTGAGTTTTTACCTTTATAGAATAAGGGGATTGGCTAATGATCTCCCAAGGCTCTTTTTGCTTTTAAAGTCTGGATTTCAGTGATATTTTAGAGTATGTATGTGCACACACAGATCTCTTTTATTTCACACTAATGAAGCCTGATTCTGATGTGGTTATACCCTGAGTCTTCTAGGGTTAGAATTGTAAATGTGCCCAGCACATAGCAGCTATAGTATTTTCTGAATAAATGAGTGAAGGGGTTTAAAACAAAACAACAAGTAAGAAAACCTGACCCAACCCCAAATAACAGGCTGAATCATGCCACCCACTCTGCACCAAAGATGTCCACATCCTAACCTTCAGTAGCTCTGAGCATGCCACCTCACATGGTAGAGGGGACTTTGCAGATGTGGTTATGCCCAGCATCTCGAGAGGTGGAGATTGTCCAGGCGGGTTCAGTGTAATCCCAAGCTTCCTTACAGGAGGGAGAGGAGAGGGAGAGAGAGGGGAAGAAGCTGTGCTGCCAGCTTGGAAGATGTAAGCGGGGACCATGGGCCCCAGAACACAGGCAGCCTCCAGGGGCTGCAGAAGGCAAGGAAGTGGATCCTCTCCTCAGTCTCCAGAAGGCACCCAACCCTGCTGTCACCTTGGTTCTAGGACTTCGGGCTTCCAAAGCAGTGAGAATACAACCTGAGTTGATTCAAGTTGTCAGGTCTGCAGTATTCTGTTACAGAAGCAGTGGGAAGCTGATAGGCTCACCTTGTTTCCCTGTGTACTTCTATATTTACCAAGCCAGACGTGACCTTTCTGAGTCCTCTGTTTCACTTTCAGAGCTAAAGACATCTTTCCTGGGTGGGTATTTGGCACAGTGGTTAAGATGCACTTGGGATACCTGCATCCCTTGTTGAAGTCCTGGGTGTGAGTGCTGGCTCTGGCTCCCGATTGCAGCTTCCTGCTGATGTACATCCTGGGAGGAAGCAGGTGATAGTTTAAGTCGTTGGGTTCCAGCAACCCACGTGGGGATCCTAGATTGGGTTCCTGGCTCCTGGCTTTGACCTGGCCCTCGCCCTCATTGTTGTGAGCATTTGGAGAGAGGACCAGTAGAGAGGGATCTGTCTCTATTTCCCTGTCTTTCTAATAATAATAATAATAATAATAAAATTTCTCCTAGACGAAGTAAGGGTAAAATGACATAGTACCTAATACTAGTTGAAATAACAGAAAATACTATTTCTACTACTATTAGTACTCCCAATGCTGGGCAAATGCCTTACATACATTGTCTCATTCAAACCTTTGCTTAAATGTTTTTAAGTAGAGATTGTTATGCACCTTTACTAGATGGAGAAACAAGGCTCAGAAAGGTCAAGACATTTGCTCAGGGTCACACAGTAGCAAGCGAAGGAGCAGAATTTCTGTCTGACTACCAACAGGTGCTGTTGTCCATTTTGTTACACTGGCAATTACACATTTGAGGTAAACGAGGGTCGTGGTGAAGAGGATGGTGATGGTGATGATGACTGAATCATTTAGTTACTATTCTGTCTTCAGACCTCTCTGTTGGAAAAATACCGGATGGCTCCTCTCATCAAATTCCAGCCTGTCACCAGCTTGTCACAGACGTGATGGAACTGCTACTAATTCAGCATTACGACTTCCTGGCTGGGCGAAGTTGGCAAAGGCTGAGGAGATGTTTGTTTATCTGAGAGCAAATGGCTCTGAGGTTTGGAAACGGAAACACCCCTCCTGCCACACCCGGGAGAAATGCACTGCACAGGGGGAGGAGAGATCTGGTGTGCGCAGCCGGCTGGGAGTGGAGCCAGCATGCGGACGCTGGTGGCTTCAGGGTCTTGCCAGACTTCCCAGATGCACAGCAGCGAACTAAGGGGGCTTCTCTCGGGGGGCTGCGTCATTGGAGCACCTCCTCCATTAGTGATCATAGTTGGGTTCCAATCTTCACCCCCCTCCTCTCATTTACCTACTTCCTCTTCCTTTGTCCTTTCCTCACCTTTGATTTTTAATGTTTCCTCCTGTTGTTCTGAGGTCCGTTTGTGTTTAAGGAGCTAGCCTGGCTAATGGGAGTCCAGGCCAGAGGGGCTGGCTCTCTGCATGAGGTTTGCTTCCAGGAGCACTGAGGGTTCAGGTTTGCTTTGAAGATTCTTGAGAATATTTGGGTTAATAACACTCGTCCTCATATTCCCGCTCGTTTCTGATCATCAAAGAGCTCGGAAAGGTTTTTGCTGGTGCGGAGTTTCTCCTGGTTTGTCCTTGGGAGCAAGTGTCTGGAACGGGGTTGATCTAAAAATGTTTTCTGAGTGAAGCCATATTAATGGGGCAGGCTGCAAATCCACATCAAGGGAGTGTCATCTTTCAAAACAGCTTCTTGGCAGAAAGAGATGTGGAACTTTAGAGAAATCTGAATCTGTTAAGCTTCCATTAAATGTACTCCTTCATTCCAGACTGTGCTGAGTGGAATCTTTGGACTGTGGGCTGTGAATAATTAAGTTCCTTGGTGGCAGGTGCCTCAGAAAGGTTGTGCGTCCTTTGGGGTGAACTGTTCGCCAGTTTGGAGGAGACTTTTGCTTTTCTGTGTTCCTCTGTGCCTCCCTTACAGGTACTTTTCATTTTTGGTTGGTGCTGGTAGGGCTTTTGCACTGGAGTATGGAGGATGTGTGTGGACTGGCTCTCACTGTAGGGCTGGCATCCTCCCTCACAGTCTGCCAGGACCTTGTGGAAAGGGGCCAAGGTTTTACCTTTCTCCCCTCTCCTGCCCTGCCATCACATCTTGTGTCCAGGGCAGCGGATGACTAGTTTATACTTGGTGCATTGGTCCAGGGCACACATACCTGCTGAGGCTCTGATATCAGACAGGCCATTTTAAGATGAGGTGGAACAGGTCCAAGACTCCATTCTTAAAAGACTGTCAGAGCAAGAGAAGTCACCTCCTTGGCTTTGGTCCCTGGGGCTTTTCTGAACAGTCTAGCAGGGCCTGCGTGCCTAAGGAGTTCTCTCTCCAGCCGGACCCGGCTCCTGGTTCAAAGCCCCAAGCTTGGTTTTTGCATCTGTCCCTGCTTAAGACTTAAATGGCCTTTTCTGCCTTCAAAAGCAAAATAAAACAAGCCCCTGAGCCAAACCAAACTTTGTATGAAATTAAAAAAGGAATGAATTCTCATTGTGTAAAACTTCAAAAAATGGAGAAAAGCACCAAAACATAAAGCACCAAACCATAATCAGTGACATCATTATATTGTGATTTCTTTATAGTTTTTAAAATGTAATACGTGTGTGTACTTAAATATAAGTAATGCATGCATAAAACTGTTTTTAAAGAGTTCATGGAAGATGTGAACAATGGAAAAACTATGTGTGGGTTTCAAGATATTCTTGTTACCAAAATAAACTTAGCTTTTAATTTATTTTCCTACAAACTTTTTTTTCTTTTTCATATCATGCATTTAAGAGCCTGCAAACTTTTTAAATACCCTCATATATGTATCTCATGTAGAGTCCTGATTTTATAGCAATGTTATAAAATGTCTTAGACATTTCCCTATCAAATCAATAATTGGTGGCCGGCGCCACGGCTCACTAGGCTAATCCTCTGCCTGTGGTGCTGGCATCCTGGGTTCTACTCCCGGTCAGGGCGCCGGATTCTGTCCTGGTTGCCCCTCTTCCAGTCCAGCTCTCTGCTGTGGCCAGGAGTGCAGTGGAGGATGGCCCAAGTGCTTGGGCCCTGCACCCGCATAGGAGACCAGGAGGAAGCACCTGGTTCCTGGCTTCGGATTGGCGCAGCGTACTGGCCGAGGGGCCATTTAGGGGGTGAACCAATGGAAAAAAAGAAGACCTTTCTTTCTGTCTCTCTCTCACTGCCTAACTCTGCCTGTCAAAAAAAAAAAAAATCAATAATTGGTTTTAACAGCCAGAGAAAATTCTGACATGTGATTATACCAAAATTATTTGATCAATCTTCTGTTGCAATTTAAATTGAATCTTTTTTTTTTTTTTTGCAAATGTAAACAACACTGTGATGTATCCTGTTTGCAGATCTTTCTACAGTATGTTTTTGAATAAATTTCTGGAAGTAGAATTATTAGATTAAGTGACCTGAAAAAATTTTTAAAAAGATTTATTTATTTGAAAGGCAGAGTTACAGATACAGGTAGAGACAGAGAGAGAGAGAGAGAGAGAGAGAGAGGTCTTCCATCCACTGGTTCATTCCCCAAATGGCCAAAATGGCCAGGTAGAAGCCAGGAGCTTCTTTTGGGTCTCCCTCATGGGTGCAGGAGCCCAAGCACTTGGGCCATCTTCTGCTACTTTCCCAGGCACATTAGTAGGGAGCTAGATCAGAAGTGGAGCAGCTAGGACTCAAATTTGCAACCATATGGATGCCAGTGCTGCAGGCTAGGGCTTTAACCTGCTGCACCACAGCACTGGCTCCCTGAAAAAAATTTTTTTTTTGCAACATATATTGTATATTAGAGAGAAAGGAGGAAGAGGGGGGGAGAGGGAGTTGGGGAGGGGGAGAGGGAAAGATCTTGTATCTCTTGTATCTGCTAATTCATTTCCTGAACTCAACAGCTGGGCTGTGCAGGTTGAAGCCAGAAGGCAGGAACTCCATCTGGGTCTGCCATATGGGTGGCAGGGACCCAGATACCTGAGCCATCACCTGCTGCTTTCTAGGGTGTGCATTAGCAGGAAGCTGGAATGTGGGGCCCATCTAGGACTTGACTCCAGGTTCTCAGATATGGGGTGTGGACATTCCAAGGGCATCTTAACTGCTGTACTATAGGTCCTCCCCCAAACCAAACTTTTAAGAGACTCTTAATTTGTATTGTCAGTTGTTTGTCAAACCAGCCCAGCCTCTTCTCATGCAAACCAAAGACAGGGTCTCTTGTCCCTCTGAATGCACTGGGTCTTGCCCACCGTATATGCAGCTCTCCTGTGAGAAGCTGCCTGGAACTAATCCTTGGAAGTGTGGTGTTTGTCATTCTTGAGGCATCTGCCATGATTCCTGGAGGGCCCCATGGAAATGCAATAGAATGATTTATTGTCTGTGTCTCCTTGAGTCAGGGTGTTAATTTAGTGAGGATTCAGTTACTCCCCTTTCACTGTACTCCCTCCCCAGACAGAATCCAAGGGCAGAGGAAGAATTAGGGGTGAGGACTTTAGGGCACCTTCAAATTGGATCTGCAGCTGAGAAGTCTTAGCTGATAACATGCCAGAATTCCAGAAGACCATGGCTAGTCATTTAATTTGTGTTTTGCACTATTTCGTGTGTACTACAGAAACAAAATCATAGGATGTGGAGTTAGGAGTCCCAAGTTCTAGTTTTGGCCTCTCCAGGCATTAACTGAGAGATCCTGGGGAAACCTCTTAAGCCATGTGAACCTCAGTCTCCTCTTCTGTAAAATATACCCCAAAATAATGCCTTCGAGGTGTGGGTGTTGAGATGCTGAGCCCAGGCATCATGAGTAAGCACTTGAGTCAGCACTTTGTATGCTGAAATACATCCAAGGCAAGTGCTACTATCTAAGCCTCACCAGCTCCACCTGGAACGAGTGCTGTACTGTGCAAGCTGTTGCTCTTGTTGAGTTTCAGGACAGCTATTTGTGGGCCTTTGGGCACCTGAGTTTGCACCTGCCTGGAGCAGATCATCAGAAACTAGGCTAAAGGGCATGAACAAGGACACCCCCTTTATTTTGCAGGTCTTAGCATAGTCATTTCTGCAGACAGATTTCTGATAGGGTAGACTCAGTTACAGGTATGGTTGCCCAGAGCTCTTGTGAACTTGTCCAAATCCTTTAACCTCCTCTGATCTTCATCTCTTCATCTTCAGAGGGGACTGATATGGCTAAATGAATCCAGTCTTGCATTCTGTAGGGGATGCCCAGATTTCCTGCTGAGGCTGGGCCATGTTGGAAATTAAAAAAAAAAAAATTGAGAGAAGCTATTATTTATTGAGTGCCA